GGGGGGGAGCGCTAGGCGCGTGGTCGTAGATGGCAGGACCAGTCCGTGTGTAGTGGGGAACGCTCCGCAGCAGGGTTTGGTACGTTTGCTCCGCTTGATATGTTTGCATTCGTTTATTTTGTGTCATTATTAGGTGATTGGAGTGCGCTTGGTACGTTTGCTCCGCCGCAGGGTTAATTGGGTCGGCGGACTGCTCCGCCGAAATGTGCGTAGACGGCAGGACCAGTCCGTGTGTAGTGGGGAACGCTTGAAGTGTCGATTGTCAGACAGAAGGGGGAATCGCCGCCTGTGCGATTGGTTTTATGTAATATGAACTCAGTGAAATGTGTGTTGCTGTTTCCATGTCCTGTGTTTGCATTCTAATGATTGTGCACGGAGTCATGTCATCGTTGTCTTCTGTTTGGTTTTATCACATGACGCACGCGTGAATGGCCATCGCATTGTCGTCCGCATCTTCTTGTGTATGAGGCCGTTTCTTTCGATTTCACCTATCGCGGCATCGTTGTCATCTTCGTGAACTTAACAAAAAAAAGAAATAAAAGGAAAACAGGTAGGAACCCAAACATGCACTTTCATTGTCATCTTTCTGATGCTTGTCGCCCGTGTTTCCCTTCGTCATGTCATCGCCGGATCCTAATGATTGCACATACCATGAAGGAAGTGGGAAAAAATAAAAACGAAAAGTTTGAAGTACTACAAAGGAAGGTCATAGCGCAGTTGCCTGATGAGCACATCTATCGTGAGTTCATCTTTCTTTTGTTTGTCGATGCATGTCAGTCGTCAATGCAACAACGAAGCTTTTCCGAATTCACAAACGCGATGCATGTCATTCGTCAATGCAACAACGAAGCTTCTCCGACAACATTTCGCAAACGCAGACAGGCCGAGACGACATGCACAACACACGTTCCATGCACCGCAAAAAAAAAAAAAAAAAAAAAAAAAAAAAAAAAAAAATCCCTCCAAACAATAGCAGCAGTCGGCTACACCAAAACATCCATTCCCAAACATCATTAAAAAAAATCACCGTTCGAAAGTTCATAAAAAAAAAAGGCGCTGTGAAGCACATGTGAAACAGCGGGCTCACGAACCTCTTCGTGCCAGCCCTCGACCACGACTCCCGTCTACGACAAACGCCCCCCCACCCCACCCCCCACCCCCCATCAAACAAGGACCGGACCCATCGACGATTCCACGACATTGCGCGGGAAAATCAACTTCTCGGCCACGACGACAATGAAGAGCCAAAATACGAAAAGACGACCGCAGAGGACGAATACTACATCAGCGATCCCGTCGCACTCGCGCTACGGGACGGAATGGACCTATACAGCGTCGTGGAAAACACGAACAAACACCTGAAAGAACCCGACCGCGACGGCAGACCCTCACTGGCGATCGCGCGAGTGAGCGGAAGACATAAGAGCTGTCGGCCGACCATGGCGGGACACGAATTCAACGGGACGAACAGGTAGGCGGCTGGCTGGATCAAATGTATTTCATCCGCTGCGCCAGTGCATTGCGGAGCGCATGAGCCTCGCGCGTCGAAGTCAACATGCACACTAGCTGCGGGGGGCGATGAATCCCCAGGTCCACTCGCCGCCTCACCCCGTTCGCGTCGACCTCCCACAACAAATTATCGTCGAACTCGATTCCTGCATCGAGCAGGATGTTGTGGAGAATGCATACCGCCGTGAACTGCTGCGGCAGACTGTCGAGGTTCGTCTTGTGCGTCCGCAGGAAGAGCCTCACATCCCTTTCAACCTCCCGAACGCCCTCTCCACGGCCCCTCTTGCGACCTTCTGCTTCGTGTCGAACCTTTCCTCGTCCGGGTGCTGATTGATTCCTCCGTACGGCACCACCACCCACTCAGAAGGAGGATACCCATTGTCGCCCAAGATGTATCTGTTCGTCGTCACCCCTCCTGGCAGCGTCACAGGAGGCCCACGAAACAGCAATCCCTCTTCCGCGCGCCTGGACAGACTTGACAGCTGGGTCACCCTAATGTCGTGGCAGCTACCTGGATATCCCACGAACACATCAAGGACGCGCAGATCCAGGTCCACCACAACCTGCGCAATGACGGAAAAACGGTGCTTGCGCTTGAAGTAGTTCTCGCTCGGCGCGTTCGCCGGTTTGTCCACGTAGATGTGTGTGCAGTCAACTGCGCCATGGCAGTTTGGAAAGCCCTTGTCCAGAAATGCCCGAAGCACGACTTGTTTCCGCACCCCCGTCGGCCACGACATCTTCTCCCCGTACACCCTCAAAATAGCGGTTGTCACATCGCGCACGGCTCGAACTCCGGAAGTCCTGCCCATGCCGAAGGATGATGTGTTGTTATCGTAAGACTCTCCTGTGGCCCACCTATACAACGCGTATGCGACGATCTACTCCGACTGTAGTGGCTCCCTGTAAAACGTCACCTGCCGCTGCACATGAGGCGCACATGCTTCGCTGATCTCCATGAACACTCTCCTGGACATGCGGAGCTTTTCCCGGAAGTAGTCGTCTGTCGCGTCATCGCACACCCGTAAATCCTCCCAAGTCCCGCCAGCTCTCCGCCGCATCCACCAACGTGGTGTCGCCCGAGGAAGCAAACCGCACCCGATTGCAGCACACAGCTGAACCACAGCTTGGGATGTGGTGATGCAGTCCGGGGCATCCAACACCCTTTGCAGCAGTAGCCTCTGCCGCCGCATCGAAAGCGCTGCCTTCATGCGCCCGGCCGCACTCTCGATTTGGAAACGACGGACAACGGCAACCGCAGCCGCCGCGACAGCTGTCTTCTCCGTCGTCGACAGCACAGCAGGTCCATCGCCATCGCAGCCGTCCATCACGTCCTTCAAAGAAAAAAAACGACGTCCACCGCCGCCCACCTTCGTGCACATCTGCCGCCACGTTTGAAGACGCATGAAACCACGTCAGGAAGACAGCCCGGCCCAACAACGCGATTCCGATTGGAGCGTCCACCCACCGCTGCTGAAGAGCAGGACCGCCGAGGCGCCTCCTCGTGGCGAACACGACTGCCTACCGGACGTCTTTGTTTCGCCGCGTCGACCACACTTGACGCAGTGGCGGTGCGGCGCCGCTGAAATACGCAATGCGATGGAAAACGAAACCCTGCGCGGCGTAGGCTGCCCCCTGGCCGACCCGCCTGTGCGCCGCCACCACGTCGCTCCGCAAGATCAAAATTCGAAAATCGAATTTTGAAAGGGGATTTTCTCGCGTTGGCGATTTTTTTTCCAAGGGCCCGTGACGTTTTCCCGCCGTCCGCCTTTTGGACCACCACGCCTGCTACACGGACATCCCGAATCGGAGGCCGGACATTCCTCTCGCAGCTGTGTATAATCTAATTAAACTGGCCGCGGGAGGGCCCCGAGGATTCGTCCTCGGGGAAATTCTCCGAGGACAGGTGGAACAACACCTCCGAAAATCAAAAATTACTCCGAGGATTCGTCCTCGGAGCCCGAGGACGCGCTGAGGTGTGTCAAACGACGCCCTTACTACCTCATGGGGTTCATCGATTTTGTAGAGTTTATCATCCTTACATCATCATTAGCACCTTCAGCATCATCATATGAGGGACGCTGAGCCCGGTTCTCAGCTTTTGCATTTGTACTCCACAGGGACGCTGGACCCGATTTCCAGCAGGTGCTGCTCC